TTTTGAGATTTGGCCACCAGAAGAATAGTTTTATTTGCCGCAGTGTGGAGCAGAGAGGCGGCTATTCCTCATTTGGAAAGGCTTCCTAAGGCCTCCCTTTTTGCGGAGCAGGGACGTCCTAAATTTACCTTGCCCAGATGAAGTTTATCTGGCTTTTTTACAGTGTTACAATATAGATTGAAACCCAGTGTCCCCAGGCCAATTTTTAATTGGAGGATGGAGTTCAGAGTAAAGTTTTTTTGTTTCTGTGTTTTTAATCTGATGGCTGGGGTGTGGTTAGTATCTAAGCTGATGCTTAGTGTGCTTAATACTGGTTGATGTATTTGCATGTGTTTTAATTAGATGGACATGTGCTGGCTGCTTATTAACAGTATATATAGAAAAAATGGTCTAGTTTGATGTCTAAAGTGGACTTTAGCAGAATTTAAGTACTCCGGACCAAGGAGCAATTCTCTCAAAGCTCATTTTGTAGTGAACATTTTAACCTGGAAATGCACTTTGTTTGTTCAGAGGCTGTGTTTCAGACCACAGCATTTCTTGGGCATCTAAACTTGAATTGTCCAGTGTACATGTAAACATTCTCCGAGCAAGGGAGACACCCAGGCTCACAGCATCGTTTTTCACATCTGATGACAATATAATGGGAAATGCATCCACATCTAAACAGCAGAGACTTCTCCCATCTGATTGTTGTGTTGCAGTCAGTCTACTGCTTTCTTGGTCTTCTGCCCTGCATCCCTTGGATTTCCTACTGCACCGTGACCCATTTTCAGTTACTCTGCTATGGAGGGGACAGGGCATGCTCCCAGCAGATGGCTGATCAGAGGAAGTTTGAAGATGTGTGTGGGTTCAGATCCCATCTGTCTGAGGAAGAAGTTGAATTGAGGCCTTCCATTTTTCAAGTGGCACATCAGCCATTGTTTCCATTATCTCTGGACAGGTTTTGGAAAGCCTGAACCCTGCTCATTTAAATGTTCCTTCATAGAAAAAGGTCTCGGATCCAGACAGACCAAGGTGCTTGATGAGTAGTGCTTGGCTGGACTTTGAAGCTGTGGGTTGGAGTCAGATCCTCATGCTTCTGTGTTCCCTATGGGCTGACTTAAGCCAGCCAGTCACTCACTCCATAGGTTCTGGTCTTGTGAGACCCCACCTGGAGTACCGCATCCAGCTCTAGGGTCCCCAGGACAAGAAAGACATGGGCCTGTTGGAGCAGGTCCAGAGGAGGGATGTGAAAATTATCAAAGGGCTGGAATACCTGTCCTATGAGCCTGGAGAAGAGAAGGCTCTAGAGGGGACCTTATTGCAGCCTTTCAATACATAAAGGGGGTTTATAAGAAGGACAGAGAAAGACTTTTTACCAGGGCTTGAACCAACAGAACAAAGAACAATGGTTTTAAACTGAAAGAGGGTATATTTAGGTTGGGTATAAGGAAGAAATTTTTTATGGTGAAGGTGGTGGGACACGGAACAGGTTGTCAAGAGAAGTTGTGAATGTCCCGTTACTGGAAGTGTTCAAAGGTAGGCTGGACAGGACTTTGGGCAAGCTGATCTGGTGAAAGATGTCCCTGCCCATGGCAGGGGGGTTGCACTAGGTGATCTTTAAAGGTCCCTTCTGACCCAAGCCATTCTGTGGTTCCATATCGCTGTTTAGCAAAGCAGTTCTGCCAACACTTGAGTTAGATTCAGTGGACTGAAAGGTTGCATGTACTTGAAAACTTTGAAACATACATGCTGCCTCTGTAGTTCATACCATTAATGATTAATGTTGGTAACTAAAACGCAGCAATGATCATTGTCTCCAGAGACTGAAATTAGAAATGTTTTGCAGACCTTTGAGGAAAAAAACCCTATACTTTCCTGTGTGGCCTAAGATCCTGCAGCAGATCACGTGTCTAGCTGGACATGGTTTTGCCTAGAATCTGAAATGGGGAGACCAAGAAACAATTTTATTGCCCAAAACCTGGGGTGAAAAATAAGTGTTGCATGGGCAGGCTAGTGCACCAGATCACTTACTGGCTAGCCTGAAGAAGAAGGAAGTTTGAAGATGATTTTTTTTTTTTTTGACAGGGCATGCTCCCAGCAGATGGCTGATCAGAGGAAGTTTGAAGATGTGTGTGGGTTCAGATCCCATCTGTCTGAGGAAGAAGTTGAATTGAGGCCTTCCATTTTTCAAGTGGCACATCAGCCATTGTTTCCATTATCTCTGGACAGGTTTTGGAAAGCCTGAACCCTGCTCATTTAAATGTTCCTTCATAGAAAAAGGTCTCGGATCCAGACAGACCAAGGTGCTTGATGAGTAGTGCTTGGCTGGACTTTGAAGCTGTGGGTTGGAGTCAGATCCTCATGCTTCTGTGTTCCCTATGGGCTGACTTAAGCCAGCCAGTCACTCACTCCATAGGTTCTGGTCTTGTGAGACCCCACCTGGAGTACCGCATCCAGCTCTAGGGTCCCCAGGACAAGAAAGACATGGGCCTGTTGGAGCAGGTCCAGAGGAGGGATGTGAAAATTATCAAAGGGCTGGAATACCTGTCCTATGAGCCTGGAGAAGAGAAGGCTCTAGAGGGGACCTTATTGCAGCCTTTCAATACATAAAGGGGGTTTATAAGAAGGACAGAGAAAGACTTTTTACCAGGGCTTGAACCAACAGAACAAGGAACAATGGTTTTAAACTGAAAGAGGGTATATTTAGGTTGGGTATAAGGAAGAAATTTTTTATGGTGAAGGTGGTGGGACACGGAACAGGTTGTCAAGAGAAGTTGTGAATGTCCCGTTACTGGAAGTGTTCAAAGGTAGGCTGGACAGGACTTTGGGCAAGCTGATCTGGTGAAAGATGTCCCTGCCCATGGCAGGGGGGTTGCACTAGGTGATCTTTAAAGGTCCCTTCTGACCCAAGCCATTCTGTGGTTCCATATCGCTGTTTAGCAAAGCAGTTCTGCCAACACTTGAGTTAGATTCAGTGGACTGAAAGGTTGCATGTACTTGAAAACTTTGAAACATACATGCTGCCTCTGTAGTTCATACCATTAATGATTAATGTTGGTAACTAAAACGCAGCAATGATCACTGTCTCCAGAGACTGAAATTAGAAATGTTTTGCAGACCTTTGAGGAAAAAAACCCTATACTTTCCTGTGTGGCCTAAGATCCTGCAGCAGATCACGTGTCTAGCTGGACATGGTTTTGCCTAGAATCTGAAATGGGGAGACCAAGAAACAATTTTATTGCCCAAAACCTGGGGTGAAAAATAAGTGTTGCATGGGCAGGCTAGTGCACCAGATCACTTACTGGCTAGCCTGAAGAAGAAGGAAGTTTGAAGATGATTTTTTTTTTTTTTAAATAATGACATGTGACATTTTATATGTGTGTTCTAGAAATACTTAGGTACATGTTGTGTATATGTTTAGTGATATTCTGGTTTCAAGAATCTCCCCTGCATCTTGTTAATGTGTCTGCTTCTGTTAGAACTGTGCAGTGAAATAAAGGTTTCAGACACTACATGCAATTTTGCTGGTTGTTATAGTGCTAGCGTCTGTGTCCTGAAGCTCCCTTTTAATCTGATGTCTGGAATTTGTTTCATTTATTGAAGGAAGTTTGACCTGGTTTTCTGGGATTTGACTCTGCCTGAAAGTTTTGATTCCACATGAAATGGAAAGGTGAAAAGTCTTGGACGGGTTGCCATCAAATATTCAGAGCAAAAGCTGATCACCAGGGGAGATCCTGCAGTAATTTTCCCTCTGGAGCAGTAAAACAAGTTCCTTAGGTTCTTTGCCATTCTGGCTTTATAAGGTGGGGAGATACAGGGGTTTTTAATATTATAACACTTCAACATTTTCAAAGGAGGCTGATGGGTTTGGCCCCCAGCTCTGAGGGGACATTCCAAAAGGTCCAGCTTTGCAGAAGGCAACTCTCCCGTTAAGATGTCTGGGATGGATGTACTCAGCTGAGACATGACAGCAGGCTTCAGTTATGTAAAAGGAAGCCGTGAAGGGAAAGGAATGAAATGTTTTTCATGCCCATTTTGGATGGGACAGGAAGCAGCAGGCTTATACTGAGAAAAGGTGAGCTAGGTTAGGCATTTCAATCTTTGTAACTGTGAGGGTAAAACTGTCCTTTGTGTAGATTGCCCTTGGAGGTTATGAAAACCTCTTGTAGTTGGGAGGTTTTTAGAACAGATGAGACAAAAGATCTGTCGGTAGTGATTTAGGTTGAGCTGATCCCATCTTAAGAAGTGGACTAGAGACCTCTTGAGGCCTCTTCAAGAGTATTTTTTTTTTTTTTTATGATTCTATAAAATAAATATTCCTGACACTTTCAGAGGGAGTATTTAACCTGAATAGGAGTCAGCGGTGAGCCACTGTATTTGCATGTAACTACATGATACCTTTGCTCAATGCGTAAGTGTTTCTGAAAAACATGTTTATTAGCTTTTTGACTAATTAACTTCTCTCTCTGCTGGGGGATTGCTTTCCATCAGACAGTTTTATCCCGTAAATATTGATGCAGAAATTTGACAGCAATTTGCTGTTGATTTTGACTGTATTATTTACACAAATGTGTGCACATACCTACATATGCTTCAAGATCTTCACCTCTCCTTTGCTGCTAGAGCACATAACTTTCAGTAATGTGTTCTGAACTGGTTGGGTAACAGGGAATAAAAAGTCTGTTGAATCAGGATGATAAATTCCAATGGAACTTCATAAATCATGGGAAACCTAATAGATTTCAGCCAGTTATTCTGAGAGCTGTAGAGTAACTGCCCTTAAATATTTGACCCTTGTGAAAGTACTCTTATATTTAACTTCATACCAAAATATCAGTTCAAGGAACAGGTTGAGTGGCGCTTGAGCTTAATTTTATTTATTGCCTTTAAATTGCAGAGGACTTGTGTTTGAGAATGTCAAGAGATAAACTCTTCTTTGAATAAAGGCCAAGGAAAGGCTTGAGTGGAGAATCTGCATCTAATGACTAGATCTTCATTGTATACTCTTCTATTTTAAGCTTCATCCCATTGAGCTTGATGATTATGGGCTAAAAAATGCAGAGGAAGTATTGGCAGGTGAGGTCACCTTTCTGAAAAGAGAGACACAAGGACCATCCTGTATATTTTACCCACGTGTGTTAGCTTGTGGCTCACTGAGCTGCTGAGCATTTCTTGCCCTGCTGATAAACAGCCTGTCTTGAAAAATCACACCCTTTTTTTTTTTCAGTTTAGATACTTCGCCATGCTGCTAGATATTTTGTGTTGCTCAGGCAATGCAAAACAGCTGGAAAATTGCCTCTTTGCTATCTTCTGCAGTATCTTGGGGTATCTCTTGTGCTGAATGCTATACTATATACTATATACTGTATGCATTATATACATATGTGTGCATATATATATACACATATATATATATTTCTTTGACTGCTGAAATTAGGTGGTATTTGGATATCCTAGTTTAACTCCACAGATGCAATTAAGTATCTAACTGTTGATTTCAGTGTAAGATGGATTCTGCCAAAGTACTTTTATAGGTCTGAACCTGAGCTGTGACATTTCTGCAAACTGTAACAAATTTCTCTTAATGCTTTCTAGCAAATAAAATGCTGTGTTTTGTTACTGATGATTTTGTTTGTTTGCTGTGTTTTTTCAGAGCCTAACCATAAAGAAACTCTTCTCCACCTTGTGATGAAATTGGGCTTGGTTAAGCTTTCCCAGTTCTTAGCTGCCCAGCCTGGAGGGTCATCCACACTAGCATTACCTAATGAAGATGGAGCAACACCATTAGATTTGGCTTTACAAAACAGGCGCTCCAAACTTGTTGAGGTCTTCACAAAGTGAGTATAATGGCTTCCTTCTTCCTCTGAAAAACAGCTCTATCAGTTAAGGGATGTGGGGAGTACTGTTGTTTGTCTCAAGAGTTACCTATTTTGTGTTGGTTTCCGTTGCTTTTTGATATTATTACCATTTTAAGTGATAAACTTGTATTTACAATTAAAGGAAGTTTATGATTTGCATCCTTCGTTACATTTGCAAGTCAATTAATAGTCAGTTAAGTGACAGAGGACTGGCTGCATCGTCAGATACCTCTCCTAACACTGTTGCGGCTGAATCCCGACGCATTACCAACAAGTAAAGACATCCCTTAAAATATATATATAAAAATATTTAGATATGAACAGAACCATAGGACTTTCACAAAACCTGAGCAGACTTTATGACCTCTATAAAGCGCAGGTTTGAGTGAATACAGGAGAGTGAGCAGCAAAGCCAGTGCTGCAGCTATGACGCTGTTTTTGCCAGAGAGCTGCCACACTGACAAATGACGTAAAGGACAAGTGCTTTCTGGCACATTTCAGCTGTCTGGAGTTTCCCCTGTACGGACCTGAGGGGCTGTGTGATGCATGTGTGTGCCTTGGGGTACCAAATGTTCAGCATCAGATGCCCCTTCTCACCGTTGGCTTTTCTTTGCAAATAGAACTACGCAAGAATTGGGTTACATTTTTGTTTTGGTATGTGGCTTTTTTGGCTGTGGCTCCATGCAGCATATAGTTTATGTGAGACTTATCTGTGCTTCAGTTTAAAAAAAAAAAAAAAAAAGTACTTACAACACTGGTACAGTACATTGTGTGATGAATGCCTCATTTGTTTGTAACGTGCAAACAATAGTATATTCCCTTGAGATACTTTCTGTTTTTCACTGTCGGGGGATAACAAACCTGCTAGCTGCCAGTTGTGTCCTAGTGCTGTATATGGTAAAATTAACAGGAAGAGGTACTGTCGCTAGTTTACGGCAATAACGAGAAATAGGTATTGTCATGACTTGCTCTTTCTGGTTTATTTTACTAGTGAGTAACCATCTAGAGCTGACATTGTTTTTTTCCCTGTTGATGGCTAGAAGGAGCTGCCTGTTACTAGGCCTGAATGGAGTCATTGGTAAGTATTTGTTTGCCCAGCTGTGTTTTCAGTGGATGTTTCAGATTTCTGCCTCCGGTTTTTGCAGCAGGTGCGTTGGGATCCCGACAGGCTGTGCCGAAAGCGAGCAGGGCGCTTGCTGCAGTTGTGTTTTCGTTCTACCTGTGTGCGGAGCATCTGCTTTGGTTTGAAAAGCATGTGGTTCTAGTTTCCAGGGCAGTCACTCTCCTGACGTTTCAAGAGCAGAGATCAGCGAGGGTGCTTGCCTGCAGTTTGTTCATTCATCAGGAGCTCTGACGCTGACATTTAGCCACACAGCACAGCACTTGCTGGAGTTGGACATTAAGCTCTTCAGAAAATACTTCTGGGACAGACCTCTTCTTTACCAGGTAGGTACCTATCTAGATTAGGGTGTTGTCACGGATTTTATTCAATAATTTCCAGACTCCTTCAGGCTGGATTTGTTTTTCTTGAATAGCCTTTTAGTTTGAGCTGCTTGTGTCACTAATGGCCAGGGTAATTGCCGGATTACTGTTGTGGGCTTCTACTTTGTGTAAATGTATCATGTTGTACATGTGAAGCTGGAGGATAAGAGATGTTGAGAACTTTATCAAAGCCTCCTTTAACTCTCAGGTTGTTTTTGAATCATTGTGGACCCTACAGTAAATATCTCTCCCTGAAATCTCTGTATCTTTAATTGCATTGCCATTGTATGCATATTAGTACTTTGAAATATTTAATTTAGTTCCATTCTTTTGTCTAGTAGTGTGATGTCTGGGAGCCTTTATCAAGAGCCAACCCCAGCCTATTATTTACAGCAGAAATACAGAGTAGAGACTTTTGCTGTAGAGTTTAGTTATGGTGTGGTGGGTCTTACTTTACTGTAATGTGTCTGGAGCACTGCTGTGATATTCTTCAGGACATCTCTCAATTTCAGTAAAGTAAGGAGAACACTTCAAAGCACAAGTTCTTTAACAGCAATGTAGGTGCTCACTTATGTTTTTAGATTGAGACTGCATGGCTATATAAAACAAGTGAGCTAAAACCACACTAAAAATAGGCTTTTCTCTTTTTCTGGTCTTAAAATTAAGTTTTTCTTTTCCATGCTTAACTTCAGGTTTCCTTATTTGTGTGCTGATTGTCCTTGAGTTATCTTTATTGCATTCTGCATTTTTTTTAAATTAAGAACCTGACTCATGTGTTATGTTTAACACAAAAACTTAAGGTGTGATGTCTTGTATAATCCTTATGTATAATCTCATGTAACTACACTGCCAAGATTTTGATTTGTTCCAATAGAAAGAAGTTATTCTGTGTTTGTAGCTTGCAGAATACCTACAATTTGTGTGTGGCTTTTCCATGGAAACAATAGTAAACCCAAGAGCAAATCCAAGACTGTGATAAAGAATGCATTGTTATTTATATAATTTGCTTTTTCTTGCACTCATCAATTCTTGTTCTTTCAGTCTTTGAAATGCAAAGAGAAAGTGTGGTATGTTAGATGTTTGCATGGCTCTCAGAGACAAACACTCTTAAAGGCTGTGAAATTCTGCACTTGCTATTTTTCAGGAAAAAGCCTACTACCCTTCACTAGTGGTTTCCCTTTTGCTCATTCCTGTAGTTGCAGCAGTCTAGGTCCTCTGTTATGGGGACCTTATTCCCCCCCCAGCATCTGTGTCGCACCACTTTTAATAAAGCAGAAATAAGCCAGAATAATAATTGGGAAGATCACATGGTTTAGTTCATTTCCTATACACCAGATATCACCCTGAAGTGTATGTGGGGGGATGATCAAACTGTCATGTTTAGACTATGTATTATGTCCAAAAGGTAAGGTAAAATTCATTTTTTTCTGATGCAAACAAGGACTTGTAGCCCTTAGTTGGATCCAAAGCATAAGGTGGGCATAAGAGATATCATGATACATAGTATTTTTAAAATAGAGGTAGAATTTATTGCTGTACTGGAGTATTCAGCTCATCTACAGCAGACTCACACTGTGCATCTAGTTTATTGTATCTTCAGACTGCATAAATGGCCACATTGCTATTTTAGGCTGGGGTCAGAAAGACATGGACTAAAGACAGGGAGCTTGTCTCAGTTATGGTGGCATGCAGCATTGGATTTGTGTGTGTGAAATGGGTGACTTAGGCAGCAGCACAAGCTATTTTTATATTTCTGCATGCAAGAAAATCCCAATCTAAAGTATGTTCTTCAGTCCCTGGTCCATGGGTTCTTTCAGTCCCTTGACTATTCCTTACAAGACTAAAAGAGTAATGGAAAAGTTAAAACAAGCTGTTGGTAAGCTGGAATTGCCCATATGGGAGCCATGCCTTCACTGGAAACCTTCAGGGGCTCTGCAGTTCAGAAGTGTAAACTCACAGGTTTTGTGCTAGGGAACAGAGAGGAGAGATTTCTGAAGATCATGAGGAAGAGTGTGGAATTGCTTGAACTCAGTTTAACCTCTCTGAGGCAGAAGTTGCTGTGGTGGTAGCAGCACCCATCAGTGGTGCCGCGTGTTGTGCACCTCCAGCAGAGCCCTAAGCAGTGTTGGGAGTGATCCCTTTGGCTGTCTCAGTTGAAAAGAAATCCAGGGACTAATGGACACACGTGAAATGGTGTCAGGGTAGTAAAAAACCAAAATAAATGCCAAACCAGGATAATAATCCAAAATAATTAAGATAATTTATGATAATTTAACTAATTTTATTGCCTGGTGGTGGACAGATTTAGTAGTTTACCAAGGAGGAGTTGACTTATTTCTGCCTGGTAGCTCTGGGAGTGGGAATGTGTCTCGCACACCAACAGATGAATAGAGAGAAAAATGCAACTTAGCCCCAGCGAGGCAGGGGATACAGCTAGCTTGATAGCTGCATGGCTTTCAAATCAAATTCAAAATTTCAATTTGGCTGCAATATTCAGTCCAGAGTCATCCCTGCCTACTACTTTCGTATTCAAGTTACTGTGCCTTTTCTGTTTGCTGCTCTGGTAGATGGCAAATACACAGGCAAGTAACTAGAGGGAGAGACCAGAAGCAAGCAGAGTTGTAGATGGAACTACACAAAAGGAGGCGTTCTCTCTTCCACCCTGTTTGCTTATAGTCTTTGAAGGTAATTGCTAAAATAAGGGACTGGGTCTGAGTCCCCTCTTCGTTTTGAGCAGGAGTCAGTCAGTACCTGAGTGAGGGGTCAGCCTGGCCAGGGACCACAGATGTGGGGTGTGAGTGGCTCCTGCCTTCCAGGCTGAGTTTACCCTGTAGCCAGTGCTTAGTCTTGGTTTAGGCTGTTTGTGTTAACTAACAGAGCTGTTGTGCAATGATGCTGAGCTGCTTTTCTCATAGAAAAGGAGGTTATAAGCAGTGAAGTACCAATGTTAAATCTGGTCCTTTAGAACCATTGTGTATCGTAAGCAGGAGGTAATTTCTCTCTGTAGCTGGAAATATCTTATCGGTTTCCCTCTTGAGGAATTGCTACCGGTTTCCTCTGGAGGGTAGCCGGTAAATTACTCTGTGGAATCTCTATCAGTCATTTTAGTATGGCTTGTAACATATTTGTTTGCTAGTCTTTGATATTGTTTTTGAGTTTCCAGATAAATGTTGTGGGCATGAAATACAGTTACTGTCCTTTTTGATTTTTTTTTATAGAGTATTAATTCAAACCAAGTTGAGACAGTGGAATGTCCAAAAATGCCCTGCAGTACAACAAGCTCTGTAGAAGGTACAGTTTTTTATTCCATAACGTTGCAGTCTTTAAAAGGTCTGGAAAGTTGGCAGAGATTCATACAGTATTTATTTATTCTGGAAGATCAGATGTTTCATATGACATTAGAGACCTGTAAGTAGACAGCAGTGGAATACACAAGTCATACACTAAGAGAGTTGTGTAAATTGTGATACTCCTTACAGAGCATCGGTTTTCCAATGTCAGACTGAAATTGTTCACAAAATATTACGGGATTTATAGTGACTGGAAAAGCCTTAACTAATTTTATTGTAAGAGCCAGAAAAATGTCACAAGGTTCCAGGAGAGGGCAGTGTCTAGCTGAATGAATGCCCCAGTCTGCAAATTCCAGTAAAGCCAAGTAACTCAAGTTAATAAAGATAGGAGCAGAGTAACATTTTGTATGAATAGTTTTGGAATGCAGCCTAGACTTCAAAATGTGGCATAATTCCCATGTGTTTCAATTAGACATTCAATATTTTGGTGAGTGGCTTACCTCTCTAAGGACTGTGGGGCTGTCCTTGCTGATTCATTACTGACATACATCCCTGTGTACCTTGGAGCAAGCAACTCTTAGAGCTGAAAAGAAAATCACAAAATAAGGTCATTCTTCAGCGTCAGAAGTATGACACTTTGGGCGTTTAGGTATGATAGTTAGGAATTAGAATTTTTCATCGGTTGGCCGTTTGCTTACGTGGCTGGTGCTGTATATTTGGATGAAGCAACAAGCTGAAAACTGTGAGCTCTGCAAGAGGCTCGGACTTGCTCAGTGGCTGTGCTGGAGGCAGCCTGACTGAGGGCAGCAGAAATGCCAGGACCTGCATGAACCACCGACAGGATCGGGATCAGACTGAGGGAAAGGAACTGCAGTTCCAGGTGGCATCAGCTAGTAACTTTAAGTGAATGGATAAAATGGGGACATGGTCATCAGGTAGCCCATGTTTAAACATGTAGGCTGCTGTTGTTAGTGCTAGAAATGGAGTTTTATACCTGTGCTCAGGCAACAAGTGTTCTGCCAGTAAGGTAAATTTGCAGAGAAATGATAAGCAGGTTTTAGCAGTTGCAAACTATGCATACATTATTGTAAGCATAAGTGGCAATTTACTATACAAGGTTTGTGAATGGCTTTGGTGATGTGGTGTGCAAATGCATTGACCCTAGGTATTCACCTGAGCGCCGTACTCTGTCCAGCGCGATCTTTGTGCTGTGCCTCAGGAATGGAAAGTGAATGGCCTGGATTGGTAGCATAATGTGTGGCAGTAGCTTGGGCAATACAACTTCTGCATGATGGTTGCTTTGGTATTTTTCACTAAAAGCAGCTTTAAATCAGGCTGACTTGGGACAAGCAGATAACAAACATCAGTGGATATTCATTGCCCAGGGAGAAAATCACCAGTTCAGGACATCTAGTCTCATTTTGGATTCTGGTTGTAAAGATTCTCATCCTCTCTTTACAGCTAAGATATGTGGCATAGATATTGGCATTGGCACACATACCTATTTGTGTTTTCAATGGAAGCTATACACTTTTGTGCCATTATGTATCAGAGTTATTTTGTGCCTGTTTTTTTAAATAACCCTCATCTTGGTTCAACAGCAAGAGAAGTATGCCGCATTTTGGTAGTATCCAGGACCTATACAAACAAATTGTAGTAATCACACCTGCAGTTATCTACCTGTAGACATGAGGAATCTGCAACTATTATTTATATGCTGATGGGCAGCAAGTTTTTTAATCTTCCTGGGTTTTGATATTGTCATTGGTTACCATATTCCTATAAGCAAGACTGGGTTTTTTTGGCGTTTTCACTAACCACCACCAAATCCAGATACTGAAAAATGATGAACAATCATTACTGGTGACTAGTAACCTGTCTTACACCCTCCATTTGCCAGCATTAAGGAGACCAAAAGAACTTTTTCCAAGATTAAGGTAAAATTGTTGCTGCTAGAAGTAGAAATGATATTAAATGATTGACAGAGTACTTTTTACTGCATTCTCAATGCATTTAGTGAACTGGCTGCTAAGCTCAGGACATTAATTTGGCACATTCATGTCATGAGAGGATCCCCCTCAGATTTTAAAACTTCGGCCACTCCAAGAAGTAGTAACTACTCACTTCTGGGTGGGCCTAAAGTCAAGATCAACAGACCTTTAAATCACAGTGTAATCGGAAGCCCTGAGCTATTAGCGAGCAGAGGTTGCTATAGCAGTAGGTTGCTTCTTGTGAAATGCAATCATACGAAAGCAGTGGGTCAGCGTAAGATGATGCTGCTAGCTTAGCAGTGAATCTCCCGTAGCAACTTAATTAAATTCAAATACATGGAGTGATACATTATCCAGTGAGGATGCAGAACAAAAGGTGAAATAGATGGTATTTTGGCTAATTCAGTAGTTTGTGCTTTTTTTTTTTTGTTTTTTGACCTTGAAATTCCATGTCCATGAGTTGACTGAATACTGTTACCTGGAGGATAAGCCATTTGCATCTATAGAAAATTAGGTACAGAGCAGCTTTTTATTTCTGAGAATTGTGAAACTGAATAATAATAAATGCCAACTGCATGGCACTACTGTAGAAAATTCTTCCCTCTGAAGCTTTAAAGTAAGTTTCTGCAGTTACAGAAGAAATCGTCTGTTCCTCCTAGCTGAAAGGTGATGCCTGGGATGCTTTGTCTGACGGCAGTAGTGATTTTGTGCTCTGTGGTTGCAACTGTGTTAGAATGCAAAGGGAGGTATATATGTGACTGCTGCAGGAGGTTAATTAAAGAATGTGGATTAATTAAAAATCAACAATGGAGATACGGATCAGCGTGGACCCAGTCCTGACTCCTGCCAGTGTCCGGGAGCACTGCTGAGGTCAGGGACAACAGGCGCACTGATTGCGGTTGGGTCCATAATTGTGTCCCAGAACTTCGTCTCGCAGAGACCTGTGGTTAGGTAGGGTCATTGTTGCCGCAGATTGTGTGATTTAGATAATAGGCAGCTGTCTTTGAATTGTTTTTCCAAAAATATATTCATACAACTTTTTTTTTAAAGCTTGAGTATAGACTTCTTGCGATGCCAAGAAAGAACAGAGGTCCCCAAGCCCCTCATTCCTCAAGGCAGTCCCCCAAACCACCCTGCACAGGCTGCTGAGTCATACTGAGTTTAACTACTTGCTGAAGCTGGAGAGTGGAGAGGGATTTGTGTATCTGAGAACAGATGTGAACCTTGAGTAGAATGATTCAATATAAAATGAAACATATTTACCAGCATAACTGTGGCTATATTGTTATGTAAAATATATTTACTAAATAATAATATTCCTGGAAGCCTGGGTGATGCCGGTGTCCATTTGCATTCCTGTAGCTGGATTTCTCCTCTTTGCCGTTTCCCAATAGTCCTTGAGGCTGCGTTTGGGCAAAACTTGCCAAGTGTGGTCCTTGTTTTGCATGTGCTATGTCCTTCCCCACAGCCCTGGGAAGAAACCATAAAAAACACAAAAAAGTGACAGAAACAAAGTTATTTTTTACTTTGTGGGGTGAAAATGCAAGGTCTGATTTCAGAAAACACATGAAACTCCTGCAGAAGAAAAGCAGAGCCCAATTGCTCTGCAAAGTTGGTGTTGAGGCACGGCGCTAGAAGTGTTGATTTTCTGAGCCATGTGGGGGTTAACTAGCAGCTGGCTGACAAATCTCCCTGCTTGCCTGGCCTGAACAGAACTGTGACAATAACATAGCACTTGTTGTGCATCCAGCTTGTGCGCTGCCCACGGAACGCCGCTGTGGGGAGATGCACGGGCTGCCCATGTCCATTGTTTTGGCTCGCCTGCCTGTTTGCCTGCTCCTTGTGACCCCTCTCCTAATCAAAAAAGGAGAGACCAGCAGCAGAAACCAAAGCAGACCCAAACTGAATTTGCTTGTTATTAAAGGCAGGAATCCTTGCTTTTACAGGTCCTGTGAACTTGGCATCTGACGAATTGTCCCAGGATGATACGAAGGTACAGATTTCTCCTTATACAAATAGCTAAGCTTCATTTAGGTTGAGAAGCAGCCACCTCTGCTTGGCTATCTGAGCACCTCCCAGAGCTAACAAATGACTAATGCCTGCCATAACATTTCCTGCCTGTTCCTATCCTGTGGGAATAGTTATGTGTGTAAGTGATTATTATTTGAAAAAACCTGTTATGTGGTTGTGGGGGGGAAAGCTGAGTTGGAGGAGCAAGCTCTGCTTTTGGACCAGAAAGCTCTTGTGCTTATGGTGAATCTCAGTGCCTTCAGGGAGCTTGCAGCTCAGCTGCCAGTCTGGGGGGAGCCCAACCTGTCTTGCGCAAGCTTCATCCTTGAATGATTCACGATTTATTGCATCTGAGGAGCTGGTCTCTGAGAGAGACCTTGTGGGTAACTGTGAGTCCTTAACTGGACTTAACTGGAAAAGTGCTTGATGTAAAAACCACGGCAGTTCCCATTGTTTTCTATATGGAGGTATCTAACAGCTTTTGGGGGGGACCATTATGGTTAGTCAGTTGTATTTGATCTCTAGCCTTACATAAAAATAAAAAGCTGAATTATCTGTTTACAAGACCAGAAAATCTTTGTCTCAGTGTTTTTTTATTCATCTTTTAAAGCAGGAGCTTGATTATTAGCTCAGAGGGGTATGGAGCTAAAATAATGATTCAGGCTGAGAGAAACAAAATCTGGTAAAATCTGGCAAATCTGCTGAAGGTGAAGTGGTCAGTGACTACTGATTTTTAATAACATTTGAATTTAGTGGAATGTTGTTGGACTGCCACTTTTGTTAGGTCATTATTATAAAAATGATGAACTCTTTAGGCTTTGTTTTTTTAATTGCCAGATGTGCCGAAGATTGACTGTGAATCCCATGTTTGGAATTCACATGTTGCTATTGTAATCTGTGTCATCTCAGGATTGTATCTCTGCAGTATGTAAGCATTTCGGAGTCTATGTTGAAAACGTATGTTGTGGCAGAGTGTTGCAGCTCACAAGTCTTGCTGGGGGGAAAAGGTTCTCGTACCATATTGATTGCCTCTTGTTTTGATCTAGCAGAAAGGCCATAGTTGACTCTATAGAGAATGAACAGACCTATGATATTTCTACAGGTGTGAACAGCTCAGGAATGAGAAAAGGAGGCATTTTAGGAATATATTGCTCTTTCCTCCAAAATGCTGTATATTGGCTAGTCAGGGCACAGTTAAACTTTGTAAGAGAAAAGCAGGCTATAAACTGGAATTGCATGGAAAGTGAGATATGGTTTGGTCTCTTCTTCCATTATGTTTAGAGTTTGAGTCCATAGGGTTCATGTGCATATCTTAGAGTCTGAGAGTGGTATGCCATATCTGTGGCATTTATTAAAATGGCTAAAATGAAGTGTCTGGTGCTTGATAGTGTTTGAACTGAATTCTGAAAGCCTATAGCACAGCTTGCAACTAAGAACAAATGCAACTACTTGTCTTCAAAAATATAGCTCAAGTTTTCCCTTTCTAGCCTTTCCGAGTCTCTTGTGTTTCCTTCTAGAGAAAATGAATATCATGTCCTGTTGGGCATAGGTAAGAAATAATTAATCATGTTGACTTCCCAAAAGCTATTGATATATACTGCGATGCCAAATACACACAAGGCAGTTTCTTTAAAAGAGGTGAAGGTCATTGACATTGAAGAGTAACTTGGCAAAAGATCCATCAGTTACATCTATGTCAGAGAGGGAACCTCTCTCAAAGCATGTAGGTAGCTGGTGTATGCAACTGTATCATGATACCCCAGGATTTTTTAGTAGTATTTTAACTGTTGTAGAAACAACAATCTTGAAAATAATTTCTGATAGAGCCAACATATGTGACTGAAGATGAAATGAAGCATGTAGAAATGTTTAGATGCCTTAGTGGTGAATTGTGGGAGTGGTAGGAGAATATAGCCAGTTGCACAAGACATTACAGTTAGAGACTGGAACTCAAATGGAAAGGTGAGTATTTTCAGGTTTGGGGAAAGCTCCAAGAACAATGTGCAAACATGGGCTCAGGCAAAGCACAAGGTGGAAAAAGACAATGAGTAACTTAAGCTCTGCCAGTGGGAGCTGCTGTGCCAGTGGTCCAGTGCTGAGCATCACTTGCCAGTGGTCCAGTGCTGAAAGAGCAGCCCAGATGGTGGCAGCTCATATGCAAACTTTGGTGGCTGCAAAATGACGAGTTGTTCTGTGTGTGTGTGGAAAAGGAGGGGATATATGTGGGGGTGGTATATGTTAGAGGAAAATGACCTGATGTAAACTCAAAGACACAGCTGTAAGATAAGAAGCTGGCAGGTTATTTTAATAATATCTATAATATCTAATAATTATCTATTTTTCTAGTCATTGTTATGCCAAATGCCTGTACTTCAACCATTTCATCATGTTTGTCTCACTCTCCCATCCAAGGAGATTCCTTTACATCCCATGTAAAGGAATTGGGAGTAGTAGCAAAAATACCAGTATTCACAGTTATCCTGACTTCAGTGCTTTTGAGCATAGGACAGCATAGCAGTCCTTGCCTTGCACAAAAATGCAGTGCATGAGATGTCAGTACTTGTGTGATCAAATCTGTTTTGTCAAGCAAGACCAAAGTATTGGACTGTATCTCACTGTAGGAGGGTGTGGAGCCATTGGGGAGTGATTATGGTTTGCTAATCTGAAGCCACATCTGCTCCTGTCTCCGCTCCAGTTGTACGATCTGGAGGGAACATAAGATAGCTTAAAAGCTGACAGAGTGGAAGTTCTTCACCCTGAAATTATAGCTGATATTTCTTTTTCTTACCCCTGAAATGCCTTTTCCTTCTAAGGCATCATTTGCACAGTACTGCTTGTGACAGCTGGAACAGGAGCCAGGCCCTGAGGCTTCAGACCAGCTCAGTCTCCTCTCTGATGCTTGGATGGGCAGCTGCAGCAGATCCTGAGTCCTCTGCAGGGAACAGGCAAGCAGCTTTGGCCATGGTTCATACCGTTAGTTAGGAGTGGTAGAGTGCAGATTCTCAGAGGACCTTTTGGGTAAAAAAAATGGTGGCTTTGCATACAACTTGGAACAACATTTAGGTGCTTAAAATGTGATATAAATATATTTCCTTAGGCATAAGTATGTATAAAGTAAAATTATGAATATGGATATGTGTATAGATGTACATATATTCACACATATACACATGTATATAAATACCTTTTGTCCTGAGTATAGGCTCAGCTTATATTAAAATAAGAAAAATTCCCTGCTGTACCTCTTATCTGAAAAAGAACCAGCCCTCTGCCTCTTTCCTCAATTACAATTACCTTGTTGTACACTAAAGAAGGCGACTTGTTTGCAGAGAAGCTGCAGTAAAATCGATTCTGCTTGTTTTAGAAGTAAGTCACTGTAACTGAGAATTTGCTTGCCCTATGTAAGGGCTGGAGCATGGACTTCTTGTGTACTCAAGTTGGCTGAAATGTCTATGTTATTAGACATCCGATGGGATTTTGCCATTCACCTCAGCAGGGTCTGGAGGGCTTCCAGTCAGCACTGTGTGTGAGATCTGATGGGGCTGAAGGGCAGTCTGGGGTGGGCTATCAGGTGTGCCATAGAAGGTGGAAGTGGGGAGGGATGAAGAAGGATGGAAATAGAGTTTGGTGACAACCAGAAATTTGTAAGTTGACTTAATCTGGTTTTACTGGTTTATTTGAATGTGAAAATCAGTGTATGTTCTTACCTGACTCATATAACCATATTGCTAAATATCGTCGGTTTATGACCCTGGATTGTTGTAAACTACTTTTTTAAAAATTGTTTGCTTTGCAGTGGTGTTAAATGGCAAAGTTTTTGGCAGGAAAAGCACACAGTGGGGGTTAAGGAAAGAAATGGAAATGGTTGTCAGTGGGGGAGAGGAAGCAGGAAAACAGCTAAAGGGGGTTGAGTGAAGAAGAATGAATAGAAATGAGCAAACTCTGGAATCACACTAGGAAGTTGGATGAGTAAATCAAAGAGGACTTCTAAGAGCGAAAATGTGAGTGCTCTTTGAATGGGTACAAATTCCCCCACTTCTGCTTCTCGCTTCTTTTTCCACATGGTTCTTTCTTTTAGAAACCTTTACGAAAAATCAGTCTCATCATGGAATGGTTTGGGCTGGAAGGGACCTTTAAAGAAGCGGTAGCTCCTGGAAGGGCTCTGCTCTTCCTGTTCTCTCTTTTCTTCCCCAGCCTGCCCTTTCAAGCATATTGATTGTTCTGGCTCTTTTCCCACACCCAACAAAGTTTTCAGAGTATGTTTGCAGGAGCGCTTGCAGCAGTTGGTAGGATGCTAAAAGGGTAACGACTTTCCTTGCTCCCTGTCTTCTTCATCTTTGGGTTGGGACCCGGCTGCCTTAGGCACCATTTGAGTCTTGCAGTTAAATTTTGAGAACTGTAGTTCAGTTTTTTGCACAAGGAGCTTCTCGTCCTCCAGGATTGCTGGAGAGCCCCTGGGGTCCCATCCCTGTGAGTTTCAGGGTGGGGATGGGCTAATAAGAAGCCACATGAACTACAGATGATGTTTTTTGGGTTTGCCATATTCAGGAACTGAAGAAATAGGAGTAAACTGCGGGGCACAACAGGATACTGGACCAGGCTGAGCAGGGGATTGTATGGAGAGTCCTGAGTTCAGTGCTAGTCACACCTGCCAATCTTCTTCCCCCTCCCTCTGTCTCTGTTGGAAATTGTCAGAGATCTGTTTTGTGTTTACAAAAGAAAATAAAAAAAAACTTTTTTTTTTTTTTCATTGAAAAAAACACACTGGAAAGATTGAGAGACAGAAACAATATCCAGTTGGGGAGAGTGCATGAAAGAAACAAAACGGAAAGCAACAAATAAAGGATTTTTTTTTCCTTTCAAAATCAAGTATATGTATTGTTGCCAGGCATTGTCATCCTCAGAGTCAGCAATCCTGTACATTTTGGGAGAGGGTCTAGGAGGTGACAGCTGAATGCAGTTACTGTTGGGCATGTGACACTGTTAGCTGGGCATGTGTTTTTAAAACATTTATAATTCCTTCCTGTTTTGCATAGCTGGTTTGGAAAGAGGATGTTCACAAGGCCATTTATGAAGCTGCTAAAGGTTGGGTTTGGGTTTTTTTCCCAATAAGAAAAATGTAACCCCCAGTTTTTCTTCCAAGGAAGTATAACTTTTTTTTTTTTCTTTCCCCTAAACTTCAGGAAGGCAGGATGATGTTAGTTTTTCAAAATATTTTCCCTGCTCTCCTAGTTACAGTGCCAATGACCTAGTGGTGTCTGTCTACTCTATTCTGTTTGCTCTGCCGGTGGTGAAAAAGTTCTGCAAGCCACATTTTGCACTTCAAGAGATAAAAATACTGATGCCAAATTTTTGGCAGTTTGCTCTATGTGACCAGGCAGCTACAAAACATTTTTAGTAGAGTCTGCCCTTTGATTTTCATGGTTCCACAGAAATCCCAGTTTAACCACAGATCAGTTTAAGGAACAGAACATCTTCTCTGTGTAAACCAGTAGGGCTGCACTGTAATCTGCAGAAAAATCTGGTTTTAATGTTGCTGTTTTGTTCTTTTTTAATTAGATTTCCTCACCGTGGTTGCTAAGTCTTAAAAACATGGGGCTTTTTAAGATAGAAAAAAGCATGCTCATGCTGTCTGTTGTCCCACCTTTGCGCAGGTTGTGTTAGATCTGTAAAATGATGAGTTTTTCTACTTACTGCAGTCACATCTTTCACTCCTTTTTTAGTGTTTCTTTGCTTTTGGTTTTTTGGTGGGCAGAATGTTTGCATCTGGAAGCATTTTGAGTCGAGTGTGCCTGTTTTGACATTGGAACTACAGGAAATAATTTTATGGTTATTGATAGATAAAAGTGAAAGTTACATGTTATGTGTTGTCTATTTGAGACAGTTACAAGAGTCCTGCAGTTAAGACTACACAGATCTTTTCTGTTTGTGGTCATTTTTGTCTTTTCCTGGCAGCTTTCAATCCTATCTTTCCCTTAGGTATGCTTTGAGAGAGGCTGGGTGATCCAGCTGTAGCATCTCTAGCCCAGGAGCTGCAGACCTTTGCTTCAGTTTCTCTCCTTAATGGATTTACAGTAGGACCTTGGGCATGTCACTTATCTTTCCTCTGTGTCTCAGTTTTTCACCTGAAACACAGAAGACCATAGATAGCAGAGGTGAGAAAGAGGCACTGCAATACTTGGATGATTGCAGATGTGCAAATACTCAGACTGGCTGTGCTGAAGAGGTTCTGGAAGTTCAGTTTGTGGTAATGGAGGCTTTTTTTATAAACTCATTTTTAGTCAAAAGGTAGGTGGTCTGAAAATTGCAGAGAAAAATAATAGCTGAAGAAAACTTCAGAGTTATTGCAGCAGCTAATGACTGTGGCAATTGCACTCTGCCCTTTTTTCCTGCAGATTTCAGATGTCTTTATGTTGCTGCTTCTGCGTTTGCAAAATCTTTGCATGGTTCCTTGCACCTTACAGAAGAGGCTTAACTTGGGGTTCATGTGTCAGAGTCCTGCCAGAAACAACCTTTAAACAACACTTAAACATGGTAGTAGTTTATTTC